CCATGCTGTGTCATTCTTGTGCAGGGGACATGCTATATGTCATTGCGAAGCACACGTATACATTTGGAACATCTCTAGTGCTTCAATGCTCATCACGTGCACATCAAAGGAAACCAAAAACATGCCAAAACATGTTCAGGTCATGCCAATGCCATGCCAAAAGTTTGTTCAAGCAAAACAAAGGTTCAAGGTTCACAAAAACACAGTTCGCAACTCAAATCACTCAAGAATCCCAAGAGGATCAAGGGCAACCTAAGAAAGGCGTAAACTTTCACACTCGGTCCAAACACTTTTTTTGTTGAGCAGTCTGCGGTGGGAGCTGCTGTAGCAGGCTCAAGGCGAAGGAGTACGCATTTTTTTGCGAAACTCATCGGTTCGCCTGTCCCGCTTTGGACGCCTGGACTTGAGAGTCTTGGGGCCTCTTGCAATGGGTTGCAGATTCAAGCCGCCTAAGACGGAGTTGTAAAAGAAAGCGTGCTCGCTGCAGCTACTGTGCACAAAATGTGGATGTTCATCCACGACGCGGCCGGTGCTGAGCACATACAGCACAGTGTACTTATAAAACAGTTTCTTGTGCATGGAAAAGGACCACTGCCTTGGGTTTCCCAACGCAGTGCGAAAAGCAGCTTCACCATCTTCATACAAAGAAGAGAGTGCCAAGTCCAATCGCTGGTCCATGTCTCGCTTCTTGCTTTTGGCATACTCCAGTTTGTACTTTGGCATCACGACGAGTGAAGTGACGTCCACCGTGAGACGGTCTACCAAAACTCGGGCTGCAGTGTCGTACTTGGGGAAGGTATTCTCGTCACCTTGCAACTCGCAACATTCTACTTCAGAACTGCATTAAGCAAGCACCGACACGCTTTTTGGAACACAACATATGCCGCGTGCCTTCCTTCTCTCGCCACTGCTGCATCAAGTCCAGTGTAAGCCGGTGCGACTGATTTCCTTCGTCATCTTGCTCGGACTTTAGCCTCTTAGCACTGTATGCAAGTGACGCAGGAGGCTCCTCAACCTGAAAGCACGCTTTGGCATAGTGTCCTCCGCGCACTAGAGTCAGCAAGGTCAACGATGTTTCTCGCACCAACTGGCTCACGTCCTGGTGTCGAAAGCCTTTCTTGAAAAGCCCTTTGATCGAACGCCAAGCCCGCTCTTGGGCCTTCGAGACATAGGTACCGTAACCAGGGCACACTTGACCGAGACCGCTCTGCCAATCTGCGCTCCACCACAAGCCCTTTTTCTGCAAGATCCACTTCTCCAAGTAATCCGCAAATGTCTCCTCACGCAAGCCAGCTGCCCAACTTCCTAAAGCTATGCACATCTTATGATTTTTGCGCCTATGGTCTGATTAGTCCACTTTAACCACGCCACACACACACACTGCGCTATCCTGATTCCAATCTTCTGGGTCGCGCAGCCTTCGTAATGTGTCCTCCCAGATGACATGGAACTGAAGTGGATGTGCGACTTTGGCGCTGAACTGGATGATTTCCGTTATCTCCATTGTCAGCTCTGAGTCAACCTTCTTCTTGCTTCCAGTGCGCTTGACGTCCTTTTTTATGTGTTCTAAGTCCCGGTGCAAGGCAGCGTCTGGAAAGCATGCCCTTGTGGCATTAATGGCACCGCCTGCACCATCCATGACCACATTGGTCACCAGTTTCTCCCAGGAACAACACTACTGTTGATGATATAAATCCTGCATGACTTTAAGGACATTAAACTATGGGAGTTACGGTCTATTTCATATTTATGGGGTAAAATGCAGGATTTATACCATCAACCGTACCAATGCAAACCCCTGGATGGGCACCCTTCACGAGAACGCGGTGCCGGCCTTCGGAAGGAGACGGCGCAGGGGCAAACTTCTATCGTCTTCTGCACACTTCTAGCCAAAATGTCTGCACGTCGGTTTCATATTTGGTGGTAAAAACAATCAAGGAAAGCCCCGAATCCAACCTTGCCAAAGTCCGCGCTTTAGACTGTTTGCCCGAGCTGGAAGGCCCGAATTGTGTTCGAAAGGCTTAAGTGCATGAAGTTTAACGTGTCGGCGGAACTTGAATGTATGTAGCAACACTGCACATCATCGAGATTACGAGAAACATGGCCAAATTACTCAGAAGGGTCTCAAGCCAAGATCGAAACGACAGAAATGGAACTCAGGTTCAACTCTCGCGAGTAACGCAAGTTGAAGCGAGTGGCAAAGCACGCCGCAAGCCGAACACCTCCTCAGCTTCAGCATCTCTGTTATCATCCGGCCTGCCGACCGCACAATCTCAGCAACATTTTGACGTGCAAGAATGCACTCCAATTTCTCCGCAGCATCTTCGCAGGATTCCTGTTAGCTTTCCTCGTCAGTCGGGCGCAAAGCTCTGGGTCACGTCCATCGGAAGATTGTTGGGTCGTTGTTCGAGGCTCTCTTTGGAGAGGGGTTGTTTGGCGCCTTGAGACGTAGAACAATCTCTATCATGCGGATGCCGCTGATGAACCTTATCCCTGTTTCTGTCCGAATGTAAGGAAGTCGTTTGCAAATACGACCAACACACTTTGATCCGTTGGATGCCTTTCGGACGTACTCAGTTCATCATTTGAAATTTGTTGAATACTCGAAGAAGCCTTCGGTACGCATCGCGATGACAAGTTGAGTGTATGAAGTACAAAAACGCAAATCATCATATAGAGTTTATAAGGGTTCAAACTCACGGCTGCTGTTTTGCACCTGAAAGGCGGAGTCACACAGCAGTCCATCTTGGGCTGTGCACTTCTGCTTCGCAGCTGGGCGTGGGTAGGGAGCGGAGGGAAGCTTGAGCGGACACATCTCGAATCAACGTGATCATGAATTCCCAAGTAGACGCTCGGTGATGCGACCCCCCCGGGTGCTTCCTCCCATGATGCGACTCAGCTCTGTCGCTTTTGGGTGTGCATGCTCGAAACACCATCTAAATTCATCTAAATGCAAGCAAATGCCATCAACGATCTAGCGTGTCACGACACATTCTCTGGCCCATACGATTTGCTAAACTGTTTCCGTGTTGTTATTTCCTCGACAAGTCCAGCATCCACTGCTGCCTGCATGATCAAGGTAACATCCAGAATTATTTCCCACAAGTAAACGCTCGCGGTAGCGACTTCTCTGGAATCGTTACCTCAGTGACTACAAGGATCCAAACATAGCCGGAGCGACCAGAGCATATACGGGAGTACTTAACCACACCAGGCTATACAGTGTCATCATGGAATGAGGCCATGTCCAGCGTGCCGAGCCCGCACTCCCGGCATATGACCAGCCTGCCGATTTCTTCGCGGATAGCAGCCCAGAGCCTCCCAAGCTTGCGATTAGCACACGCTCGATGACTTGTCATTGTCCCCTGCATCCCGTGCGCTGCTGCTCTCGCAAGGTGGACCGCACGCGGCCCGAGCCGTCACGGTCTTGCCACGTCGGATAGGTTGCCACACCCGACTCGACTCACACTTCCGCGTCCTGCTCCTGCGCTGCTTGCGCATGCCCTCCCGCTAGGCCCACGCAGTTGCTCCTGCCGCGGCACGTTCGATGCGTACGGAGATCATCGAGCTGCATGCTCCACATCAGGCGTGCTCGCCTCCCCAGCATTACAGCATTACTCCTCGAACGTGCCGTCGCCCCCGTCTGCCAGGAAGCCGGGGCGAGTGTCGGGAGAGCAACGTCGCACTGCCACCCTCGTCACGCCTGCATGGAGCGGACAGCCACTCGGGCTGGGCCGTCCGCAATGCGGCGAGGCGCAAACGAGACGGCAAACGTACCCCGAGCTCGACCGGAGCCGACGCTCGCTGGGCAGAGGAGGCTGCCACCTTTGTCCGCCTCCTTGCCCGGGCAGGTGCAGCGAGTGCCGTTGCCGCTGTCCGCAACTCCGCCCAGGCCGCATGGGTTCTCCGATGGAGTGGCGTCATCTCCGTTGCGGCGCAGCGTGCGCTCGCTGCCACTTTCTTGGAGCTCCCCCTCCAGTCGGAGCTTGGTGCTGCTGGCCCGCCGCCAGCTCTG